GAACTGAGCAACCCTGTCTAAGTGGTGTGTAGAACTTCCATGTAGTAACCAGAGTGTGCCCTACTGATTATTATGAAAAGATCTTTGGGGAAAGATGAAGCATGTTGGATTATTTATTAAGATTTCTGCAATCACAGATCCAAAATTTTAACAAGTGTATACAAATTTTCATACTGCCCTTGATGGATCTTAGCTGATCAATTCCAGTCTCCAAAATTAATTCTGCCAATATATTCAGTAGCCATTTAAAATCAGCATTCAAAATCTTGTCTTTTACATAAGCCTGAACACCGATCTCTGGTACCATTGGAAAATATGCAACTATACCAAACACTGACAAAAAATTACTAACAAATAAATAACAGAAAAAATAAAAAGAGAAAAAAAATGATATTTTTTACTATGGAAAATGTCTCCTTCCATTTTGCAGTCAGTCTAACCCATTGGTTTCCAAACTTTTCATTGTTATACATTTTAATAGGCCAAAGGCAGAAAAAAGTCTGTTTCATAAATGATTGAATAAATTTAAAGGAATAAGTTTTATTGTGTTGGCAGAAAAGTTTGTAGTTTTTTCAAGAGGTCGCATTTGGACATGGATTCAAGCCTGACTGAAATTTATGATATATATATATATATATATATATATATATATTCTTAAAGGTAGCATTTCAATGTGTCTCTGTACATGATTCATATGTGGGTTCTGAATATTAAAATTCTTACATTAAATATAAGAATGGAGGAAAATAAATGAGATGCAATTTCATCATTTGATGCACTTTTATTTTGGGAAAAGCAAACTGCTATATAAACAGCAAAGAAGATATGTACCATTTATGGTGATGGTACCATAGCTGAAAGTACTATTATTAAGTGGTCCACTAGATTCAGAAGTGAAAATCTAGAAGACCAAGAATTCTACAGCAGGCCTGCAGTCATTGATGATAGCTAAATTGAAATACTGATTTAAAATAACCCAATCAAACAACATGGCACATCACACAAATGCTTTAAATATCTTATATGAAAATTGTAAAGCATTTGAAAAGACTTAGATACATGAATTATTACAATGTTTGCGTTACTTTTGATTTAACAGAAAAAATTTAATGGATTGCATTTCTGTCTGTGAGATTTTGCACAAATGCAACAAAAATAACCCACTTTTAAAACAAATGATCACAGGCAGTGTAAAATGGATTGTAAAGTGAAAAAGTCCAGGATAAAAGGAAATGAGTCACAGTATGTATCCAAAGAAGATAATGCTGGAAGTTGATTGGAAGGACATTGTGTATTATGATCAATGATAATTGCTATTCAAAACATTTTTCAATTTTGAATAAAAAGGCAATGATGTGCACCTGATGAGATTGGAAGGGCTTTGTGTATTACAATCAATGATCCTTGCTATTTAAACCAGTTTTTGATTTTGAATAAAAACATGATGCTGTATATCTGGTGGGGTTGGAAGTTTATTGTGTATTATGATCAATGATCATCACTGTTATATAGGGATAAAGTGTCACCAGAGAGCAAACACAGGCAATTCCATTTTGAATAAGTAGATCATGTGATGGTAAAGGAAATGTATATATGGGAATTAGCATGGCATCTAAGTGATCGCTATACGGATTACTATTTGGATCACTATTTAGTGGTTACTTTTTGAGTGAGTATTATCAAGCAAGTACTTGCTATTTGAACCAGTTTTTGATTTTGAATAAAAAGGTGATGCTGTACATCTGGTGGGATTGGAAGTTTATTGTCTATTCTGACCAATGATTTACTACTATTCAAAACATTTTTCAATTTTGGATAAAAAGGCAATGATGTGCACCTGGTGAGATTGGAAGAGTTTTGTGTATTACGAGCAATGATCATTGCTATTCAAACCAGTTTTTGATTTAGTATAAGAAGGCAGTGCTGTGTATCTCGTGGAATTGAAAGGGCTCTGTGTATTATGATCATTGCTATTTGAACCAGCTTTCAATTTTGAATAGAAATATGATGCTGTGTATCTGCTGGAATTAGAAGGGCATTGTGTGGTCAATAATCATTGAACCCATTTTTGATGTTGAATGAGAAGGTGATGCTGTGTGACTGGTGGCATTGGGTAGGGCACTATGTATCATGATCTCTTTACACAAAATCAGACAAATTCAGTCAAGTATTGTATCCAGTTGGATCAATTAAATGCAAAAATCAATGAAAAGCCTCCAGAATTAACCAATCAGATGTGTGATCTTCCATCAACTTAATGCTAGACCTTACCTCATATCTCTTTGTAGACCTGTGGGCAGAAAATGGTACATCTTGGCATGGACATCTTGCTATACTCACTTATACTTAATATGACCTTGCACCTTCGTAACATCACTTATTTCAATCCCTACAAAATTCTCTTTATGGAAAAAATTTAACTTCAGTTCTCTGGAAGCCTGCAAAAACCATCTGGAAATATGCTATCTTCTAGAAGCATAGAATGATGAAGCTGCTTGAAAAATAGTAAAAGGTAGAATAAAAAAATGGTACATGTGTAGTTAAATAAATCTATGTACAATCACTATACTGTCATTTGAAATTCACTGAAAAATTACATGAACTTTTATTCTTCTCCAATATTTGTATCTTTTTTGTAATCAGTGTATGATTTGGGCTGAAAAGGCAATTTGGGCTGAAAAGGCAATTTGGGCTGAAAAGGCAATGGAACAATTACAAAGAGACAAAATCATATAGAAGGCCCTAGATTTGACTTTAATTTTGTGACTCCCAGTATCTAAGTATAAAACTAGTGGTTAACATAAGATTGATTGATTTGTTTTTTACAGGTTATCTACCTCTTACAGATTATTTTAAGCTAGGATATATTTTTAGACTGTAAGAATTTTTGAGATAGTGATGATTTACTGATGATTTTGATGATAGTGATGATTTACTACTACTATTTAACCCATTTACTGATGATTTACTGATGATTTTGATGATAGTGATGATTTACTACTACTATTTAACCCATTTACTGATGATTTACTGATGATTTTGATGATAGTGATGATTTACTACTACTATTTAACCCATATCTGGAGCCAGGAAAGTTGAATTCATACCTTTCCCAAGGATATTTGCACATAAGTGGATATAATGAATCTGACTAGAATTGGAACTTGGCTCTCTGATTTCTGATTCCATGACACCACCTGCACATCCAAGCTTAAAGCACCTGGTATTCCCAAGTGGTCACACCTCTAGGTATTGATATATTAAGTGTATGGTGGCAGAACAAAGAAGAAACAATGGAGGTTTAAGAAATAAACAATTGTATTAATGTAAAATACAACAAATGGTAAATTGGTGTAAATGTCTCTTGTTGGAAGAAAGAGATAAGTAGAATTGTAAAAATTGTCTGCAGAGGCATATGGTAGGAGAGGGAGGGTGAGTTGTGACTTACTGCAGCGACAGCCTTTGGCAAGTTGTCTTTGGAGATGGGAGGTTGTGTTCCAATGAGTGTCATGAATCCTGGCTATTGTGCCACCCAACGGCTGAAAATGTCCCTTCGATGGGCATTTATGTCCTTTTGTTAGGCTCAGATCAGCTCCAATTTCTATTTTGTTTCTTTAGGCAGAAGTGGGTGCTATTGGGTGGAAATTCTGGATTGTATTTTTCTTTGTGTATGTAAGTAAAAAGGAAGTTATGTGCAGAGCCAATGCACAGTTGATGAAAATTTTAGTTCAGTCTTGGGATTTGGAGCGTTCACATCCAGCCACTGTTGGAAATTTGTGTAACATGAATCAGAAGATTTGGTTTTAGGAAGATTATAACAGTACTGACCAGGCTCAACGTTGCTTAACTTCAGTGATTGTATGAGAAATGATGTTTCAATGGCATAATCCATAAAAATTTCAGAAAATTTGGTCGGGTTGTTGTGGCAAGTGATAGAGAAGCAGCCTGGAGAATGAAATGTCTGAGACAGGTAATAGACTGGGTTTGGCTTTTCAAATCATACAATTCTAATAAAATGTAAATCCTGATTTTAAACAGGGAGAAAGACTGTCCTTTTTTTTTCTAACAATCAATGTATGGTTGGAAAAATCTGTCATTGCAGCCATATTAAAATATCTGGTGACATCAGCATCTTTCTGTCTTTTTTTTTTAGAAACAAAATCTCTGGTGCTGAGAAAATCAATAATCCTAATCTGTTGTTGTGGCAATAATAATCAGCAGAAGGGAGAGACATGTATTTCTTATCTGCTCCTTAGGGAAGAAAGAAGAGAAAAGCGCCAGACATAGGATTGGGAAGAGGTGGGGATAGGCAAAGGAGGGTAAAAGCTGTTGTCTAAGAGTGATCCTTGTGGGAGAAGATGGACAATTTTCCCCTACATTTATATCTTTGGATATGAACAAATTTAAACTGCCACTGGAGCAAGGAGCCGGCTTGTCGTGGTTGATTTAAGATTGTGTTCTGTTTTTGGGTGCTGCAGGGATGCAGAAGAGGTGATTTCAGACGCATGAGTATTTTTCTATTTCTATCGTCATCTGATTCATACCCTGATACCCCTATTTGTGAGAAAGATTTATTGTTTGATTGTTTTCTTTATTTTTGAATGAAGAAGAAAATTCATTATTTTTACCTTTCTTTTTTATTAGCTTTTTTCTTTCTTTTTTATTAGCTTTTTTCTTTCTTTTTTATTAGCTTTTTTCTTTCTTTTTTATTTTTCTTTGTTTTTTCTTATCTTTCTTTCCTTATTTTTCTTTCCTTTATTTTTCAATTTTCTTTATTATGAACCCCCCTCCCCACCCCACACACACACTTTTCTCCAACCCTATCGATAGCGGAGGTAGAGGAGGATTGTAATCTGTGTTATTTTTTTTAACATTTTTAACATTTTACATTTTACTCAATTTTTGTGAAATATATTTCTTTCCCAAGGGTCTCTTTCCGATGGATCAGACACGGCTGGCGGAATCAATTAAGGAACAAACACGATAAGCGACAAACAACAATGGAGACAGGAAATTTTCTTTCCTTTTATTTTTATTTATTCTTTCTTTTTATGTTTTCTTTCTTTTTTTTTTCCTACTTATTTTTTCTTCCTTTCTCTTCTTCTTTCTTTCTATTTTTCTTTTTCTTCTTCTTACTTTTTATTTATATCTTTCTTTTTCTCTATTTTCTTTCTTCTTTTCTTTTTCTTATTTTTTCTTTCTTTCTAGCTATCTTTTTTATTTCTTCCTTTCCTTTTAGCTTTCTTTATTATTTTTTCTGTCTTTTTCTTCTTTCTTCCTTTCTTTCTTCAATTTTCTTCTTGTTTTCTTTCTTTTTCTTCTTCTTTTTTTCATTTTTCATTCTTTTTCTTCTTATTTTACATTTGTTCTTTCTTTTTTCCTTTTATTTCCCTTTTTCTTTCTTTTTATTTTCCTTTTCTTTTTATCTTTCTTTCTTCATTTTTCATTCTTTTTCTTCTTATTTTACATTTGTTCTTTCTTTTTTCCTTTTATTTCCCTTTTTCTTTCTTTTTATTTTCCTTTTCTTTTTATCTTTCTTTCTTCATTTTTCATTCTTTTTCTTCTTATTTCACTTTTGTTCTTTCTTTTTTTCTTTTTATCTCCCATTTTCTTCTTATTTTTCTTTCTTCTTATCTCCTTTTTCTTTTTATCTTTCTTTCTTCATTTTTCATTCTTTTTCTTCTTATTTCATTTTGTTCTTTCTTTTTTCCTTTTTATCCCCCTTTTTTTTCTTTTTTCTTTTTTATCTTTCTTTCTTCATCTTTCTTTTTGTTCTTAATTTACTTTTGTTCTTTCTTTCTTTAAGTTGTTCGTTTTATCTAACATGAATCATATTTTCCAACTGAATTTCTGGGATGAGGAGTTATCCTTATGTCCACTATTTTATTCACTATTTATTCAAACTTATTCTCATCTTTGTTGTTATCATCACAAGTAATAATCTATTTAATAATTTAATATTTTATCTTAAAATTTTAACAATATTTTGCAAAAAAAACAACTTAGAGTTAAAATCATTTGTCTTAAAAATGATTCATTATTCAGATTCTAGAACTTTAAATATGTCATAAAATAAAATGACATAGACAAGATGTATGCATACAGATAAAGAACATATTCAGTGAATACAGAAAAAAACAGAAAGAGGAAAAACACAAGGATTCTCTTGTTAAATTTATTTATTTTTATTTTTCAATTTTTTTTTAAGCATTTCACCCCAAGCAAGGCATGAGTGCCATGAGCACACAAGGGGTTACAGAGAGTAGAAGCAAGAGTAAAGAGGCATGATTGAGGAAAGGATGAAGAGAAAGATGGAGAATTAGATCAAGGCATCTGAAGATGTCAATTGACATTGCATTTGAATAATTGAAGATTATAGTTATCAGGGAAGCAAGTAAGAGGAAAGGCGTTCCACTGATGGGAAGTGCGAGAGATGAAGCTATTGGAGTAGAAGAGATGGCTACTTATAACTTTTTGACAGTGAAAGGGTGGGACTGAGATGCCAACCTAGTAGCACGCTTAAATTCATACAGTTTGGGAACCAGCAAAAATAGCTTGTTGGAGCAGTTACCATGAAAGTATTTGTAGAAAAGACAGAGGGAAGCAACGGCACATCTGTGAGAAATTGACTGTAGATGAGATGCCAGATCAGGAACAATCACATTGCATATCTGTCTCTGTATTTTGTCGAGGACCTTGAGATGAACAGCAGGGACTCCAAACCATATATGACAGCAATATTCCATGCAAGGATGAATGGTTGATTTATAGATTTGAAGGATGAACTCGGGTGAGAAAAACTTTCTGAATTGACATAGAGAACCAACTTTCCTTGCAGTAGATAAAGCTATTGATTCAATGTAATTGTTTAATCTCAGGCCAGTGAACAGTGTGATACCAAGCAGTCGCAAATAGGTGCTCTCATGGAGTTGAGCATCAGACATTCTCATGGGGGCAGGAAGAGTTCTTTGTGGTGGCGATAGAAACCTGTATTGTCTTTTAGGCATTAAAGTTGCTTAGCCAATTCCTGCCCCAGTCAATAACTGATTGGAGGTCCTTTTCAAGACCAACAGCCAGGTTAGTTTTGTCAGCAATACCAGATTTGCTATTGAGACAGGAGTAAATAGTGGTGTCATCTGCATAGATGCCTACTTGGGAACTGATGACATCAGGAGGAGTGTTAATGAAGATAACCTATACATAGGAATGACTACAAGAGAATGTAGTGAGTTCCAATAAAAATAAAATATATAAACAAAAATATAAAGAATTCAAATTAAAATAAAGCAATTGCACTTTCCTTTAAAACCCTTATCTCTTTCTTTCTCTCTAAACTTCTCTTTCTATACTTCTCTCAACCTACAAGAAGGCATCTCTCAAACAAAAAAAAAAAAAGAAATGACTTGAACCCCGTCAAAAACACTGGAAGTTTGCAGGAGCAGAGCTCACTTACTTGTGATTGAAAAATATCAAAAAATCATGAAGGCTCCACACATAACTTCTATTATAAAAAAAATGAAAAAGAAAGGAATGCTGAAAAATAAAATGATTTTGGCCAGTCCAAAAAATTGACACAGACTTTTTGATGTTGTGGGAAAATTGTGAAAACAGTTCACCTCGGAAATGCCCACGAATCTGTGCATTGTGCAAACTCCAGCTGTTCAACGGTAAAAGAACCAAAATGGCGGTACCCATGTTTTATGCCAGGCAGTCTCAGACAATTAACGCGAAATCTTGTTGTCTCATCATTCGCATGCAAATTATGGTCGGTCCTCGGCTGTATAAAGCAAGCACGTTTTTTTTTCTGGGAAACATTTTTTTTGCTCATGAGAAGGTTGGACGTGTGACACTATTTTGTCGTTTTCTACTTCGTTGGACTTTTATGACGGGCTGTCATTTGAACTGCGATTTGGCTACAAGTGTTGTGGTCAAGAAATAGAAGAGACTAGCAGTAGAGCCCGGCGTTGCCCGGGGATGTAACAGTAAGAGATAGATCAAGTATCGACCATTATAAAGACTGAAAAATAAAATTCACAAAGATTATTGTTTAAGGTTGACGAACACACATGTCTTAGTTAGTTTTTTTTTTTTTTTTTTACGAATTAGTCAAACCCAAACTCAAACAAAAACATTGTTTTCAATTATTATGGATCTACCGATTGAATACAATTTTATTATAAACAATTGTCTTGTAAATGGAATTTTTAAAGCATTCTGTATGTAAGAATAAAGAAAAAAGTGTGCAAGACAATAAGAAACACTACCTGCCAAAAAAAAAGTGAAGTTTTGTTGAAATCGGTTGAAAAATGTAGGAAATCCGACCCCATATATAAATGAACACACACACACACACACACACAAACAACCTGGGTTTTATAATAAGTATAACTCGATATGAGTTGTCCCCCTTTCATTCTTGTGATGCCTCTTAATCTTGTTTCAAATTGATTTCATACAAAAACAATTGTGTTTTTCCAATTTTTGGCACTGTCAGATCCACCGCAAGGTAATTTTACGTAGTCCTGTGAAGTTTTGTTGAAATCGGTTGAAAAATGTGCGAAATCCGATCCAATATATAAACGTACAGACATCACACACACACACACAATCTGTGTTTTATAATAAGTAAGATTGCAGAGGCTCCAAACAAACAACAGATGTCCATGCCAAATTCTCTAGACTACTAGATTGGCAGCAAAGTCTCATCATTTTAGAGTTGAAATAGCTAGCTATAACTTAATTTGTCTCCTATCTTGGTCTGACTTCAAAATGATCACAAACGAAAATTTCTCCAGATTGCTATTAATATCTGCCTTATTAACAAACATTTTGCTATGTTGAATATCAAAAGACGCACTCATCACCTTACCATGAGGTATTATGATTACTTGCATTATTTACATTATTTGGACTGTTATACTCATCTTCATTGCCATATTCGCGTTTCAGCTGTTGTAGACTCCAGCCTTCTTTAGGTGATTGAAATTTTGAACTGAACCCTTTATTCATACACAGATGTCTTCAAGGACACATAGCCCAGTCGATAAAGACGTTGGTTAGACCAGTGACTAGACCCAAAGAGTTGTGAGTTCAATACCAGGCTACAGCGGTGGTGAACCAAAAACTTGGAGTGTTGAGTTAAAGGGAGATAACTGAGACATCCAGAAGAGGCATGGCACATGGAACTAGAACAATCTACCCCAGTGGAAAAAATAAAGGGTTCAGTTTGAAATTCCAATCACCTGAAGATGACACATGAATATGGCAATGAAGATGAGGAATAGAGTCCAAATAATGTAAATAATGCAGGTAAACTTTTTGATGTTTTGACTATTACACAAACTTAACTTTTTTAAATTATGCTGAATTTTTGATAATAAAATTAACACAAACTTTTTTGCTTGAATTATATTTTAAAATTTTTAAATTTGTTTAATAATTTAATGTTATAATAAGGCCTTTTAGGCTTTTTTAAATTATATTAATAATAAAATGTATTAATTAAATTTTTTTGTTACAATATATTAATAATAAAATGTATTAAAATTTTTATATTGATTTTTAATAAAATATTGTTAATAAAATTTTTAATTTTACAATATGCTTTTTGCTTAAATTAATTAATAATAAAAATGTATTAATAATTTTTTGCTTTTAAATTATATTAATAATAAAATGTATTAATAATTTTGTTATAATAGGCCTTTAAATTATAAATAATTATTAATATTAAAATAGTATTAATTAATTTGATAATAAAAATAATAATTTTTTTAGGCTTTTTTTAAATTATATTAATAATAAAATGTATTAATAATTTTGTTACAATAGGCTTTTTGCTTAAATTATATTAATAATAAAATGTATTAATAATTTTGTTACAATAGGCTTTTTGCTTAAATTATATTAATAATAAAATGTATTAATAATTTTAGTACAAATGAGCTTAAATTATATTAATAATAAAATGTATTTATAATTTTGGTTTTATGCTTTTTGCTTAAATTATTAATAATAAAATAAAATTTTAGTACAATAGGCTTTTTGCTTAAATTATATTTTGTATTAATAATTTTGTTACAATAGGCTTTTTTCTTAAATTATATTAATAATAAAATGTATTTATAATTATATTATAATATGCTTTATTGTTATAATGCATGAATAATAATATCTTATGTTAATATTGGCCAGAAATAAGTATCTTTACTCTTTTGTCTTTTATGCAACAAAATAATCAGGTTTAAGTGCTCTTAATTTTTCTCTCCTCAATTATTTTTTCACATGAATGTTGCAAATAAAATGGTTTCCTTTATAAAACTCTCTGACCAAGTGTGAATGTCTGCCTGGGAATTAGAAAACAAATTTAAATTTGATTTTTATGAACTTTACAATAAAACCATATTGCAAAACAAAGAAAGAAGAAATAGTAGATATTTTTTCATGAAAGGATCCTGTAAACTAGAAAGACAACTGGCAATAGGACAGAGTGCTCAGGAAGTAAGATTTTTCTAACTTTACCTTCAGCAAATTTTAAAGTAATATTTCCCCCACCCATTTATGCCCGAATTCAAGTATGGTCATGAATTAAAGTTCGATTCCTTTTGTCCGTTTTTAGAGTTAAAAGTCATTGACAGTTGCTACTCAAATTTGTAACTCAGCTATGCTCCAAAATTGGATGTTTACCATTATAGCATTTTCTGTTCTCAAGCTTAAAACATAAAATGTATCCACAAAATTGTTTGGATTTTTAACTTCTCTTTTTCTTATGTCATTGCCATGTCATTTCAGGACATGAAAGATCATGGCTCTCCACAACCTCTTATTTCTTGTAGTTCTTAACATTTATCCCTATAATCTCCATCCAATTCCTCAATTTAACAATCAATTCATGCAAGCTCGCCAGGTATGTAGCCTGCTACCTTTCCTTATTATTTTGCCTTCCATGTGTCCTATGAGTATCAAATTTTTCAAGCCCTCCTTCCTCATTTTGTCCAAAAAATTTCAGCTGTGTCTTTCTGATTGTGCTTATTACAAGTGTCCTTTTTGTTTCCATTTAAGCTTCTACATTGCTTACATGCCTTGTCCATGGTATTCTCAGCATCCTTCTGTAGAACAATATTTCTGTTGCTTCAAGTCACTTCTTCATCTGTGAGGAGATTGTCCAGCATTCACTGCTATATAAGAGGATTAATATTACATAGCAGTTCAGCACTCTTTTCTTTGTTTCTAAAGGTGGAATATACAAGTTCTAAAATATTACCTAAATACTGTCAAATATTTTTCATAAGACATATTCTTAGTATTTAAGATCCTTTTTTTATTAGCAGTAGTTGCAGTTAAAAAAAAAAAAAAAGGAACTCAAATAAGGGCCGGTGCATATTGTCACCAAACCTCCTGACCGGGGGGAAGCCTGATTGAGGGCCCCGGGCAGTGCTTTGTGACCCTCACTATCAACATTTACTTTTTTCTACCTACATTTATATATGCTACAAATTAAATTAAGCACAATTGATTATTAAAGGATGAAAATTTTTTGCGGATTTTGACGTTATTCTGGGTTTTTTTATCCACATCCAAATCTGTCAATTTGTTTTGGTCATGCTAAGTTTCAAGAAAAAACACTATATAAAATTCACTATTTTTTTTATCCATAATGTTGATTTTTCTTGTTAAAATAATTCAACATTTTAACAAGAAAAATCTCAAGTTGATGTTGAAAATTGCCGTAAAACATTGTTGATTTATTTAAGATGGAATGATCAATAATGACATGTCTTTAATTTGCATTGAGATACGTTGTATTTATTTTCAATTTTTCTACTTGAATTGTTCACCTATATTTTTTATGGTCCATTATTGTACATAATTAGGCTACAATAAAATTTGTATTCTACATGAATACAACCTTATGAAAATTGAGATGTAGTAAAGTGGAGGGCCTCATATCATAGATTCAGGGACGGGAGGGAGTATGAGACCCTTGCACCGGCTCGTATCATAGATATGGAGGGGAGGCACAACATCCTTTCACTAGCCATGCCTACATCCAACTAATTTTGGATTGAGAGGTTTCTTTCTCTTAGACTGGTTGCCTACCAAGGCTAGATAGCTCAGGCTACCATGCTATTAAACCCTAGCTGGTTCAGAGAAGAGATGGAGTCATGCTTTTATATTTGTGCAGAAGTGAATTCAGTGACCTCAGCAGGAATTTGAAATTAGCATACCAATCCCACTTTTCACGCCAATAACCGCTAAATGCAAATTCATGTTCCTTATTTCGTTATCATATCTGTGATATCATAGGATAAGACAAAATGAAAGACTGGGAACAGTTTGTTGCCTGGGGTCAGACAAATATATTTGATGGTGTGTTTGGGGAGGAGATTCGCTTTCAGCTGATGAGAAGGACTTTAATTCTGAGCAAATTTGGGAGGTTCCATTACAAATGGTCGATCATTGGAACATGAAGATAAATGAAGTGTTGAAATGTGTTCTAAAATAATCAATGCTGAGTCATCTGAAGAAATGGAGAGAAGAAAGTAGAAAAAACAAAAAAGAAATAAAAAAGGGGGGGGAAGGAGAATCATCAGAAATAGAAATCATCATAAGCGAAAGAAGAAGAATCAGAGAAAAGAGAGGTAGATAAATAGGAAAGAGGGGAGAGTCAGAAGAAAATATGGAAGTTAAATATGGGACAAGAAAAACAGAGAGAGAGAGAGAGAGAAATAAAAGAGAGAAGAATAAGAGAAAAGAGGGAGAGACAAATATGAAAGAGGGGAAGAGTCAGACAAAAATGTGCTAAAAGGAAAAGGGATAGGAAAAAAAAAGAAAGAGTGAAACAGAAATAAGAAAGAGAAAAGAGAAGTAGATAAATATGAGAAGGGAAAAAAAGAAAGAGTAGAGAAATAAGAGAGAGGAGCAAAAGAGAAAAAAGTGGTAGATAAATATCAGAAAAGAGAAAAACAAAGAGAAGCAAAGAAATAAGAGAGAGGAAAAAAGAGAATAAAGATTTAGATAAATATGAGAAGGGAGAAAAAAATCAAGAGTAGAGTAATATGAGAAGAGAAAAAGAGAGGTAGATAAATATGAGAAGGCAGAAAAACAAAGAGAAGAGAAAAAGAGAGAAGAGGGATAGGTAAATATGAGAAGTGAGAAATAAGAGAGAGGAGAAAAAGGAGAAAAGATATATAGAGAAATATGAGAATAGAGAAAAACAAAGAGAGGCAGAGAAATAAGAGGGAGGAAAAAAGAGAAAGAGAGGTAGATAAATATAAGAAAGGAGAAAAACAAAGAGAAGCAAAGAAATAAGAGAGAGGAAAAAGAGAAAAGAGAGGTAGATAAATATGAGAAGGGAGAAAAACAAAGAGAGGCAGAGAAATAAGAGGGAGGAGAAAAAGAGAAAAGAGAGGTAGATAAATATGAGAAGGGAGAAAAACAAAGAGAGGCAGAGAAATAAGAGGGAGGAGAAAAGAAAAAGAGAGGTAGATAAATATGAGAAGGAGAAAAACAAAAGGCAGAGAAATAAGAGGGGAAGAGGTAGATAAATATGAGAAGGGAGAAAACAAAGAGAGGCAGGGAGGAAAAAAGAGGAGTAATTAAAAGAGAACAGAGAAAAAAGAAGGATTAGAGAAATAAGAGAGAGATAAATAGAGAAAGAGGGATAAATAAGAGAAGGAGAAAAACAAAGAGAGGCAGAGAAATAAGAGGGAGGAGAAAAAGAGAAAAGAGAGGTTGATAAATAAGAGAAGGGAGAAAAACAAAGAGAGGCAGCGAAATAAGAGAAAAGAAGAGTATATAAATATGAGAAGGAACAAGAAATAAATGATTTGTGGAATAAAAATGAAAGAAAAATCAGAGAAGAAAAAGTGGAAAAGATTTTTCAAGTTATTTAAAGCCAGAAAATATATTTAGATTGCAATTTTTTTTAGATAATAATGATTTAGTTATACAAGTCCTACTAATTAACCCATAGCCTGGGGAAATAAGTGGATTCATGCCTAATTAGAATTTAATAAACAATGAAGACATTATAATGTGGATATAAAGTGGGGGATCAATTATATATTACAATCAATATAAAAACTGAGCCCTCATTTTGTAGCCAAGATAATTTGTATACATTTCTATTCCAGAGACTGTAAATAAATCTAATCAGTAATTCTTTGATTGATTTGTTTTTGACGGTTTATCAATCCTTTGTATGTTATTTAAAGCCAGAAAATATTTTAGATTGTAAGAATTTTTTTCAGGATAATCGTCGTCGTCACCCAGTCGTATTCGAGCATCAGAATCGTCGTCATCTCCCCCTATCCACCCCCGCTGGTGGCAGTGGTGGAAATAGCTGGGAAGGTCCAGCCTTGGAGATAATAAAGATTTAGTGATACAAGTCTTAGTAATTAACCCATAGCTGGAGGCAGAAGAGGAGGATTCATACCTAATCAGAATCTGATAAACAAAGGGGATTTGTGCGTAAGTGAATATAACGAACCCAACTAAAATAAGAATTCAGCTCTCCGATTAACAATTCCGAGCCATTATCCATTACGCCACCTGCACACATTCAAACTTACAGCACCTGGTATTCCCAAGTGGTCACCTATTTAGGTACTGACCAGCCTCAAGGTTGCTTAACTTCTGTGACCGTATGGAACCAATGTTTCAATGTGATATGGACGTAAGATATATCACCCGAGCATCCAAGCTTACACCACCTGGTATTCCTAAGCGGTTAAGCGGTTGACCATGCTCAATCTAACTTCTGTGACCGTATGGGAACCCATGTTTCCTCAACGTTGCAGTACGTTCAAGCTTACAGTACCTGGTATTCCCAACTCATCTAGGTAGTGACCAGGCACGACCGTATTGTACAGGAACCCAATGATTATTTCAAGCTTATAGCACCTGGTTTCATCAAATGACCATCGATGTTGCTTAACTTCTGTGATTGTACAGGAACCAGTGTTTCAACATAATGTGGTTATAAGCCATACCACCCGCACATTCAAGCTTATAGCACCTGGTATTCAAAATTCATCTAGGTAGTGACCAGGCACGACGTTGCTTAACTTCTGTGATTGTACAGGAACCAGTGTTTCAACATAATGTGGTTATAAGCCATACCACACACACATCCAAGCTTATAGCACCTGGCATTCCAAATTCATCTAGGTAGTGACCAGGCTCGACGTTGCTTAACTTCTGTGAATGTACAGGAACCAGTGTTTCAACATAATGTGGTTATATGCACATTCAACGCACCTGGATTCCAAATTCATCTAGGTCGTGACCAGGCACGACGTTGCTTAACTCTGTGATTGTTTGTACAGGAACCAGTGTTTCAAAATAATGTGATTATAAGTCATACCAAAAATAAAACCTGGATCCAAATTCAAGTTTAAAAGAAAGAATTTAGGAACCAGTGTTTCAAAAGCCATACCAAATCAAATAGCACCTGGTAATAACTCATTTAGGAGTGAAAGGCTCAATGTTGCTTAACTTCTGATTGTAGATAAAGTGTTTCAACATCATGTGGTTATAAAAAAAAATTGATGGATTCCAAAATCTAGGTAGTGAAATATCTCCTGGAAAGATAAATGTTTCAACATAAAAAAAGGAACAAAATGAAATAGCATTGGAACTCATTTAGGTAAAACGAGATCAAAAATATGATTGTACAGGGTTTCAACATCATGTGGTTAAAAAAAAAAGCTTAAAATTAAATGCAGTTAAAGAAAAATTAAAGAACAATCAGAATAACAATGAAAAAACATTGAGACTCATTTAGGTAGTGACAAAAAGGATGTACAGGAAAATGTTTCAACATCATGTGGTTTGAAAAAATCCAACTTATAATGGCATTCCAAATTCATCTAGGATTTCAGACGTTGCTTGATTGAATGTACAGGAACCAACCCCCATACCCTGCACATTCAAGCTTAAACCTGGTATTCACAACTCATTTAAGTGTTATCTCAATGGACGGCAATCCTCAACATCATGTGGTTATACACACACACATTCGTGCACCTGGACACAATCAAGCACCAACCCTTGAATTCCTCATTATGCCATAGACATGCAACAAGCTTATGACCTGGTATTCACAAACAAGGTAAATGTCTGTCATATAGGAAAATGTGGTTATAAGCCATACCACACACACATCCAACTTATAGCGACATCTAGGTAGTGTTCACGACGTTGCTTAACTTCTCTGGACTTATGAATATAATGTGGTTTTAAGCCATACCACCCGCACATGTAGCTTAAACCTGGTATTCACCGGTGTCAATGTTGCTTAACTTCTGTGATTACAGGACAATGTTTCAACATCAGTGATTATTAAGTGACTATGGCATTCCAAAATCTATCCAGTCGAATTTGCTTAAATTGGAATTGTGCGTCGATGATTTGGCTTTTTGATTTAGGTTCAATGTTGCTACTTCTGTGAACAAGTTTTCAGCATCTGGAAATGGTTAATAAATCTTTGGTTGACGTTCTTAACTTCTGAATGTTCAGGAACCAGTGTTTATTTGTGGTTATAAGCCATACCAGCACATTAAATAGCACCTGGTATTTCATTTTTAACAATGTTGCTTAACTTCTGTGATTTAAAGAACAATGTTTGAGTTATAAGCCATTAATTATTAACGGCCATCACGACGTCCCAAAATATAGGAACTGTTTCAATTTAATGTGGGATTAAACCCATAATTCAAGAGAATGAATAAAACTAATTACAATGTTGCTTAAATCTATGATTATTCAGAACCAATGTTTCAACATTTTAGGAAAAATTTGCATTCAAATTCAGCAAGCACGACGTTAAAGGAACCATTTTCAACGTTGGATATAGCCCTTTGCACCTGGTATTCCAAGATTAGTGACAAGGCTCAATGTTGGGGAGAACCAATGTTTCAACATCATGTGGTTTAAGCCATACCACACCACATCCACTGGCCCAATGCAAATTCATTGGTGTGGGCAGACGTTGCTTCGGAATGGACAAAGATGTTTCAACATAATTTTTTTATTCCTGGATCACAACTCATTTAGGGGACAAGGCTTTCTGTGATGGTACAGGAACCAATGTTTCAGCATAAGTCAATATAACGAACTTGAATGTACAGGAACCATTTGAACATAATGTGGATCATCCGCTTATTTTCTCATTCTCGAGCCATCAGGAACCAATTCAACATCATGTGGTTATAACCACCCACACATCATGTATCCAAGATTACAGCACTTAGTATTCCCAAGCAGTCACCCATTTAGTTACTGACTAGGACCGATGTTGCTTAATTTCGGTGATCTGTCAAGAATATTTAAATAAGATACCGCCGTAAGCTTTTAGGAAAATATTTATACATTATAAAATCGGCATTCTAAGTTTCTATTTGCCAATCGACGTTACACTTCACTGTTTCAAACAGAAGACCTGCACATTCAAGCTTTTAATGCCTTTCGTTGTTCTTGAACCAATGTTTCAACATCATGTGGTTTCTCCAACCTCTTTAGCACCTCCTCATCTCCCCTTGAGGTTTATGTCCTGTTCTTTTTAATGAAGATCTTGGTCTGAAGAGATAAAGTGAAAAAAAAAATTTCATCTTCTTTTGTGTCTGAATCACTCCAAAATATGAGGGAAAGAAAAAAAGAGAAAATTCCTCCATAAAGAAAACTCGTTTTAACAATGAAAAAACTATTACATTTTCTTGATCTAAAGAACTCATCATTTCTTCTTTGTCAAGATCTTCTTCCATCACGACATCATCTTCCTTAAATTCTGGGTCTTATTTGGTCAGAATGAGCCATGCCTGGACTTAGGTTTTTCCAGGTGTATAAATTTCTTTGATGATAATAGACTATTGAGTGAAATGTCCTCGAATTTGTATGATAAAATTAGCCTTCAAGTTTTTCTGAAAGGGCTTGTTACTTTGTTTTTTATATTAAATCTGTTTTATTTTCATTAAATTGAGACATTGTTATTGTCCCAAAATATCTTCATTTGATTCATAATTTTCCATTGATGCAGATGGGCTGACCTTTTGAATAGTCCTATAATGGGAACCCTACCGCAGTAACATTAGTGGGCAGAATTGTCTATGGACAAAGATGTTTCTTTTTTTATCTCTACCCAGGGGTGTTTGGGGATAACGAACCTTGAACACAATCCCATTTTTTATTGCCATTTGCACCATTCTTTCTGCAATCCCATTTAGATAGTGGGTGATACGGGATCTGTCAAGAATATTTTAAGTTTTTTTAGGAAAATAACATTATTGCCTAATACGTCTCAACCAATTCACATGAATCTGTCGGTTGTTGAAACTTCTCCAACTTTAGTTCTCCCCTTGAGGTTTATGTCCTGTTCTTTTTTGAAACCCCCCGCCATTTATTACACCTAAAGAACTCATCATTTCTTCTTCCCTGGCTATCACGACATCATCTTCCTTAAATATTTGGTCAGAATGAGCCATTAGGTTTTTCCCTTTCTTTGATATAATAGCTGTATTATGTCCTCTTTGTATGATAAAATTAGCCCTCTTTCTTGTTCTTTGTTTTTTTTTTCTTTTCAGGCTTTCAGCTTTCCATTGATGCAGATGGGCTGCCTTTTGAATAGTCCCTAGCAGAATGTAAACTTGGGGACAATACCTTCAATCCCATTTTTATTGTTTGCACCATTCTTTCTGCAATCCCATTAGATAGTGGGTGATACAGCGTTTCAACCCATGAAAACTTTTTAGTTGTTAACCTTTCACCAGGGGTCTCTCTCTTCCTGGAACAGGCTTTCAGCCTTACCACCTCGCAGATGTAAACGTCACAGATACAGCGTTTCCCAAATGCTGGGAACACAAACAAAACACGTACACGAACACACACACACACACACACACACACACATATATATATAATATTACACACACACACACACACTCTGCCCATTGTAACTGTCCATGTAACTTGTTATTAATATATATATTTGTATACATATATTTATCGGTCTTGTGTTTGTTTTTCTTTGCCTTCTTTGGACTTAATTAAAGTCCAACTTTCTCATGTAGTTGGACCGGCTAGCAGGAAAATCTTAAACCCACATGTGTTCTTCTGCTTCTATCAACAACACGGTCCACTACAAATCTCCATCACAAAATCCTGGCGTATTGTTTGATACCAATGTTTTTCTTTCCTTTAACTTCAACGACTTCAGGCCACCCAGAAAAAAAATCTATTGTCATAAGCATTAACTTCTCTCTATTTGGACTTTTCCGAAAATATCCACCTTTTTGTTGTACTATATATTCATATCCTCTTTTAACTGTATTCTATGTATTCATATTTGCTCTTAGCCCTGTCATGAATTACTATGTTTATTAAAGACTTCGTCAAGGTTCTGTTTCTTATTACAATTTAATAAACAGGGTAAATTGAAGTATGGACAAACATTTGAAATCTGAGAGAATAAACATATCTCTTAACTCACCGTCTGCGACTAAAATCTTCAATCATTAGTCTTATCGTAGCGGCACTGCTACTCCCGTTCATGTTCATGGCGGAAGAGTTATTACTTCAGGGACTTTGCCTTTCTTTGTTGCATCACCCCACTTTCTTCTACGCAACATGGTAGGCTTATTTAGATTTTATAATCAACATTTCTCTTCGTTGTTTGATTATTATT